CAAAAGCCTCCCAAACAATCTGGACATTATCTGGTAAACAGTTTATGAAATGTACTAATGACCTGTTCTTTCTGTGAAAAAGCTTTGAAAAAACGTCTACCGTTGATTTTGGCATTTCTGTGATTTATAACGCCATCTATCCCAGATCGCGACTAGTCACTTTCTCAATTTCCTTGTTTGCGGATAATATTGCACTAATCACTCGTTTAGTAGCTATTGAGGACTGTTATTCAGCGCAAAAAGGCCTCTGACCGCGTTCAGTTCTGTACTATCGCTAGATATACTGACTTTTTCTGTGACTGATGAATTTTCAAAACCAATGACAAAAATCTGTAAGAATCATGTATAAAGTAAATAATGTAAAGCATGACTGTTCGAATTCAGTTGCGCAAGATTGAAAGAGTTACCTGTACTGAAAGCTAGGTAGCTGCCAGAAGAAAAAATGTGTAGAGGTCAAATATGGCCGACTAAATAACGAAAATTTCTTAACTTTGGGTGCTGGTTTCTAGTAACAAGGTAACGCTGGTCTGCACTCGCTCGGTCTCTTGACTCTAGGAACTTATATCTGCGGACGACCCTCCATCACTTTTGAATCCACGACAAAGTTCACGCCTCCCTTCGGTCGACGTTCGCTAGGGCACTATCTAAAATATGTTCTAAATTTTTCTTTCCTTTGTTGTATAAGGTTCGTAATCTAATGTAAATCTAAAGGGTTTTCTCGAGACCCCGGAAAGACCTCCAGAGGTCCAGAAATATTTCTGAATTCAAAACAATGCTCTCGCCTCCCTTCGATCGACGTTCGTAGCCAGTATAGCTGAGAAGGACTGTGAACTTCTCTGATTCCACGATAAAACCGTCCTATGTAATATTAAGCCAAAAGGTTTTCTGGACACCCTCTGCAGATCCCAAGGCAGTTAGAGGTATATCTAACCGATTCACTATGATAGATTATCTGTACACTGTAAGTTTTATTACCCGTACACGACTATTTTCGGTATTATCACGGCTGTCTGCTTTCTCGCGACGTCTAACTTCGGCCTACAGAAAAGGTTTGCTTAGATTTTTTTCTCTCTGCATCAGTAGAGATATTTCCGATCATCTCTTTTTTATCATCTAATATTTTGTCTCGCGTGGTTAAAAAGAAATTTTTTATCCTTCGCTTATTATTGGCTTATCCATAGAATATCTGACAGCCATTTTTTCGTATTTTGCGCACACACAGTGTTTCTAACATTACGTGTACGCCTTTGTCCCAAAGCGTACGGTACGCGAATTAAATTGAAAATACGCTTTGTATCAACCAATAGGAAAAGACAGAACGATAAAATCTACGAATTACCATGCTTATGTACGCGCTGTTCAAAATTCTCATTAGAAAGCCAGCGCACACACACAGACAACCAGTTTGTAAGACCCTAGACTAAAGTCAAGGGAAAAAAAAAGGAAAAAGTTTTCTTAGAGGTATCCTTTTGTAAACGAAAACAAGATTGATTTTCATAATCAAGAAATGGAATCAGAAAACAACTGCTGACTTTTCCACAATTTCCATGCCCTTTAATCATGTTTTCAGTACAGATTAGTAACAAGTTAAGTTCCTACAGAAAAACGTGAATGTGGAACGCACCGTGTTGTGAAGATATATTTTTGTAAGTAGGGGTGGCAATTTACCTTTACTTTACTAGTAACGAGAGTAGTTACTCGTTACCAGTAACAAAGTAACTAGTGCAGTTACTCGTTACTAGTAATTAGTAACTAACTAATTTAGTTACTGCGTTACCAGTAACGAAAATGTATTTTAATGGAAAAGGCATGTTCAACTTCTTTTCGATATTCTCTGTGTTCTAATATATAAATCTTGATTGAAAAAATCACCTTTCCCTGATATGACTAAAGCTCTAGAATTTATTAGTTATAACGCAAAACGAAAATATTTCTCATAACATTTAGGCACTTTGACTTAAAATTTCTTGTAAGAGTGTGGAAACCATCGACAAAAGCTGCTTCACTAAAAAATTATTTCAATACTTCATGAGAGTATTGCAAGAAGTGAAGAGAAGGAGTAGTCTTTCATATCCTCTTATCGCGTTCTGCTCCTAACTTTTAAAAATATTTACGCACCTAAACGAAAAAACACTTAGTCTTATGTCGAGCAAATAAAGTTACCTCTATTCTTTTTTTCTACTCTTAACTGATTATTAATAATCTGTGTATTTTTTGGCCAAGTTAAAGAAAAATAAAATAAGACAAAACAATACAATGTCAACATGAGACTATATAATAAAAACAAAGAATTAAAAACATCATTGTTCACTGTCCAGTTGTCAATTTATCACGTAGAAACATTGAATACTTGAAAATGTTTTAAAACATCCTAAGAAGTTTACTTTCTTCTGTCTTATTAGTGATCAATCAAACAACTTTGGTCATATTAGGGAAAGGTGACTTTCATATCAAGATTTATATGTTAGAACGATAGAGAATATTGAAAAGAAGTTGAATATGGCTTTTTCCTTAAAAAAACAATTTCGTACTTCGTTACTTTCTCGAGAGTAACGAAATAACTAGATTAGTTACTTAGTTACCTAGCAAATAGTAGCTGTGTTAGTTACTATTTGCTAAGTAACTAAGTAACCAAGTTCGTTACTTTACCTGCTAAAGTGACGCCGAGTAGCTAGTAAAGTGCCATCCTTATTTGTAAGTGCGCAGTGCTCAATTTTTTCTCGATATCTTAGAACAAATCAGAACCTAGGAAAATCTTCCATTATCAATTATCTGTAGACGTTTTCGGCAAAGGTTTCAGTATATTATCTCATCTCACTTCTAAAAGATTTGTTGATGTTTCGCTACACAATTTTTTACCGCCGTAATGATAGTGTAAGGTCCCGGCAACATCCTGTGTATATAATTCCAGCTGTCTAATATGATTAACCCTTTGACGGCCGGTGGTACGTATATGTACCACCTGTTTTCACGAGAGCATAACTATTGACAGAAAGCAGCTAAAGAGCTTCGATTTTCGCCATGCGAAAGAAGAGACTTGGAAACATGTTTTCTCGAGTAAAATAAGTTCCAGAAGAGTTTTTGAAACAGGTTTTCTAGGAGATCTTTGGAAAACCAGGTTGTATGTAAAATTTTTCCAACGGGATTGTATAGGTTTTCTTTCATAAACTGGTAGTCCGGGATCTCTTCTTCAAAACGGAAGCCAAGCGAGACCTTTATTTTCCGTCGTTCGGGCGCTGTATCAAACTTCCTACGAGCCCCAGGACTGGCACCAGCCGACTATTGATAGCCTTGAAAGCTGATGGATTATAGGTAATCGATCATGCTGAGTCTCATGGCAATATTTGTTTTGTAGAAAAAGCTTTAAAAATCTAGCAAACAGTGAGTTTTATGAAAATTTGGATTTTGAGGCTGTATCACCTAATATTAAAAAATTCACTCTACACTCAAAAAACATCAGAACGAGTTCAAAACTTCGGATTGTAGAGGCTATCAATTATTGTAGAGGATATCAATATCAACTTCAGGCTTTCGAGGCTATCAATAGTCGCCTGGTACAACCTGGTTTTCCAAAGATCTCCTAGAAAACCTGTTTCAAAAACTCTTCTGAAACTTATTTTACTCCAGAAAACATGTTTCCAAGTCTCTTCTTTCGCATGACGAAAATCTCTCTAGCTGCTTTCTATCAAGAAGCAGAGGCTGCCGCTCAATATTGTTGTATCAATCTCTATACTATATTTTAGATCATTCATGAGTTAACAAAACGTTTGACCGTTTTTTCCACAAAACACAAGATATTATGAACGATTTGTATACCAACTTATACAGAATTTCATACTTTTTCGAATAGTAACAAATCTGATTGAAATCACGCACTATTTTAAAGGATTCATAAAATTCTAATTTTTATAGAAAACCCTTTTAGCGAAAGGAGGACTAATGAAAATAAACATAGGTCAAAAAAGCTCTCCATTCGAAGAGTTTTTCTAAAGGCAGTAAGACACTAAAGCCACTATGTTTTATTCTGTTTTCTCTTCGATTATATGATACAATCAACATAAATAATTTTCATCAAAGACGCTTGCCAGCTCAAAATGAGGACATATTTCTGATTTTATATTAGAATTCTGACATCTCTTCTCTCATACAGAAAGAAGTCAAAACCTAGAGGAGGAATCATATCAGAATAGCAAATACAGCACCTTTCGTAAAAAAACTACTTTTTCAAATATGACAGGTGTCCCACACTTAGTAAATCCAGTCATTCATACTTCAGTTCTTGATGAATAGACACAATTGTTAGAAAGCCTTTAGGGTAGCATGACAAAGTCAATATAAAAACAACAACAACAATAAGTTGAATTTCTTAAATATTTACCAGATTAATCAGGTATACACGCTGTTTTCTTCGATGGCCTAAGAGCTATATCAAAAGTAAATTTTTGTTATGTGCTTTGGATTTATCTAGCACACAGTCAAACATAAGAGCGTAAAATTTTGTTCTTATATGCCGTTTTAAATCGTACGCAGAAGAGGAAACGAAACAACCATAATGTATGCAATCACATTGGTACTATTTTGCGTTGTAAAGTTATCATCTGAACAACCCCATTCATGTGCATGCAATTGTTGTCCTACGTCTAACTGTTATCCATCATTAGTCGGACAAGCTTATGCCGCCAATTGCTCAAGAGCTGCTTGTACAGACGCATGCAAAGTACAATATACATCATCATGTGCATCTTATTTTGGTAAGATAGATGCTTATTGTACATCATCGTTAACAACGACAACTCAACAATTTAACTGTCGCTGTGATTGTTGTAATACTGGTAGTACGTGTTCATTGAATGCCATAGGTACAAGTACCGCTTGGTCCTGTTCCCCACAGGCATGTACAATAGCATGCTATCAACAATATCCCTATGTATGTGTGAGTTCGTCTCTTGGACAAACATCTGGTCAATGTACAGGTCTTGCCACTACCACCGCTGCCCCTAATAGTTATCGTTGTTCATGTAAATGTTGTAATAATGGCCAATTATGTACAACATATCAAGTTGGTACCACCGTTGCACAGGAATGCTCGCCGAATTCATGTGCAGAACAATGTCGTAAACAATATCCTCAAATATGTGCATCATCTCCACTTGGACAAACGCAAGGAATTTGTTTGGGTGTTTAGCGAAACAAATACATATATTATTCATATTCTTATTTAATGTAGCTAGTGGAAACTTGTACTTCAGTTGTTTCAAGAGTGCATTATAAAACATGTTACTTTTTTTTCAAATATCTATAGAGTAACAATGTAATGATCCTTGGATCAATTCATATAGACATTCACTAATCCTAAGATGTCATAAGCTCGTTACGTCCTGCTTCTAGAACAAAATGCTGAAGTATGGCTTCTGCAATCCATAAATTAGTGTTGAATAAAAGTTTGAATCTCATTTATTTTCTATAGAAAATATATGGGACTAATTGCCACGATGATTTTTTCGAAAGAGCGAGAAGATACTCCTAGAGTTTTTTACTCGACGCCAGATGTAGAATGAAGAAGAAAATATTTCTTGACGCTTACCAGATCTTTGAATTACTCTCGGAAAGAACTTATGGAGAACATTCCCAGATGACATACTCCGTATTTTGCTCATCGATAGGGTCGATGGTATAGATAAAAATCCTAAAAGAATTTAAGCCATTGCTGCTTGGTTCTGGCGAAACGTGCGAAATAAGTTTCTCAACTGTATCATCACTGTGCTTGAAGTGATATTTGTTCTTTTTATATCTCAATAACAAA